CATTCAACATTAATTAAATTTTCTAGGCATTCTTCTGGTTCCTGAGAATACTCCAGGGAAGACAAGGTCCCTACCATCATGGAGCACATAGTATGTTGGAGGAAAAAGATCATAAACAAATGAACAAGAAAATAAGCAAGCTGGGAGAGGTGGAGTATGCCTAAAGCTACTGAGGAGGCTAAGGCAGGAGGATCACTTGAGACCAGGAGTTCAAGGCTGTAGTGCACTATGATCTATTCCCGCCTGTGAATGACCACTGAACTCCAGCTTGGGCAACATAAGGACACCTCACCTCTAAAAAAGTTTTTTTTTTTTCTCCTGAAACAGAGTTTCACTCTTTTTGTCCAGGCTGGAGTACAATGGTGTAATCTCAGCTCATTGCAACCTCTGCCTCCTGAGTAGCTGGGATTACAGGCACATGCCACCATGCCTTGCTAATTTTTTTGTGTGTTTTTAGTAGAGATGGGGTTTCACCATGTTGGCCAGGCTGGTCTTAAACTCCTGACCTCAGGTGAACCACCCACCTTGGCCTCCCAAAGTGCTGGGATTACAGGCATGAGTCACCTTGCCTGGCCAAATTTTTTCATTTTATTTTAGCACTCAAACAGATTCTGACAGATACAATAAAATTTAACAAAAATAAATAAAAGCTGAGGTAGGTGGATTGCTTGAGCCTAAGAGGTCAAGACCTCTGGGCAAAATAGCAAGATACCATCTCTATTTTAAAAATAAAATTAAAATAAACAAACAATAATTTGCTGATATGCAGATGAACTTTGGATTTACTTCTTAGTGTAATGAGAATCCACTGGAATAGGAGAATAAGTAAAAATCATTCTGATTGCTGTGTGAAAAACAGAGTAAGAACAAACAAGGAGAACAGTTAGGAAGGTACCAGCCAGGAAGAAGCAGAGTGGTGGTAACAAAAATAAAATGAAATAAACATATTTGGGATGTATTTTGGAGGTAAAATTCAGAGTTTGCTCAAGGACTGGCTGTGTGTAGAGTGAGGGAAGATGAGACAAACAGATGAATTAAACATGACCACTAGATTTTACATACAAGCAGGATTGCAGAGGGGTGCTATTATAACATGAAAACTACTAGGGTTAGCTGGGTGTGGTGGCATGCACCTGTAATCTTAACTACTCAGGAGACTATGACAGGAGAATCTGCTTCAACCCAGGAGGCTGAGGTCACAGTGAGCTGGGATCACACCACTGCAGTCCAGAGTAAGACTCTATCTGCAGGTGGTGGTGGCAGGGGAATAAAACTGCTGGCCAGGCACAGTGGCTCATGCCTGTAATCCCAGCACTTTGGGAGGCCGAGGCAGGCGGATCACAAGGTCAGGAGTTCAAGACCCAGCCTGACCAACGTGGTAAAACCCCGCATCTCTACTAAAAATACAAAAATTAGCTGGGCATGGTGGCGAGTGCCTGTAATCCCAGCCACTCAGGAGGCTGAGGCAGGAGAATCACTCGAACCATGGAGGTGAAGGCTGTAGTGAGCCGAGATCATGCCACCGCACTCCAGCCTGTGCAACACAGTGAGACTCTGTCTCAAAAAAAAGGCCAGGTGTGGTGGTTCACGCCTGTAATCCCAGCACTGGGAGGCCAAGGCAGGCAGATCATGAGGTCAAGAGGTCGAGAACATCCTGACCAAAATGGTGAAACCCCATCTCTACTAAAAATACAAAAAATTAGCTGGACATGGTGGTGTGTGCCTGTACTCCCAGCTACTTGGGAGGTTGAGGCAGGAGGATCGCTTGAACCCAGAAGGTGGAGGTTACAGTGAGCTGAGATTGCGCCACTGCACTCCAGCCTGGCAACAGAGCAAGACTCCATCTCAAAAAACAAAACAAAACAAACAGCTAGGGAAGGAATAGGAACAGAAATTCAGAGCTCCATGTGAACCTGTTACACTGAAAGATGCCTTGGCCAGGAGTAGTGGCTCACACCTGTAATCCCAGTACTTTGGGAGGCCAAGGTGGGAGGATCACCTGAGGTTGGGAGTTCAAGACTAGCCTGACCAACATGGAGAAACCCTATCTCTACTAAAAAGACAATATTAGCTAGGCGTGGTGGTATATACCTGTAATCCCAGCTACTTGGGAGGGTAAGGCAGGAGAATCGCTTAAACACAGGAGATGGAGGTTGGTGAGCCGAGACTGCACCACTGTACTGCAACCTGGGCAACAAGAGTGAAACTCCCTCTCAAAAAAAGAAAGAAAGAAAGAAAGAACTATAAAAACAGATGAAATTAAGATATCATATAGGCAGACAGAAGTCTGAAGTTCAGGACTGGAGATAAAAATCTGAGAATCAACAGCAATTGACAACAATTTACTTATTTTTAGTTTCTCTACTAAAAACAATAAATAAATAAACCATAGGCCAAAATGGGATCACTCAGAAATACATACAGGTAGAGAAAGGAATAGGAACAGGCTGGAAGCCCTGGGGCATTAGAATGTTTTGAACTCAAGAAGGAAAAGTAAAAGAGAATAAAGAGAAAGCCCTAAAACTCTAGTATCATAGAAGGTTCCTTTATATAATGTGATTCTCTAGTACACCACCACAACCACCCCCTGCCCACCACACAGTCATCCAAATTCTATAAATAAAACAACGGAGGCCCCTAAGGGTGGGGTGACAACCCCATAGCCCCAGCTGTTTTTAACCAGCTCGAGGCCTAAAACCAAGAGGTGACTTATGACTCTCAGCCTTTTCACAGTGGCTAGCAGTTCTGTTAAGAGTTTAACAGTCTAACCTAGACAACGGGGAAAACGTCAAGGAAGAACATAATTTAGACTACAGTGTTCATTTTTCACTTTTTTCCATAGAGTTTGCTGACATTCACAAAGCAAGCTGAAGCAAAAGCCTTTATGGATGAGTCTCTAAGAACACCAAGAAAGATAGGCAAGAGGTGCAAAACGACAATAAATCAAAACCCAACTCAATTTTCAACACTTTTAAAAAGCACTCTGAAGGCGTGGGACTCGGGGTGTGAATCAGGGGTATAAATTAAATTGCTGTTTCTTACGTTAGTTTGGCTTTAAAAAATACAATTCAAGTTTGAACCTTTAACATTTTTACTTTTGGTCGGTCGCGGTGGCTCATGCCTGTAATCCTGGCACTTCGGGAGGCCGAGTCGGGTGGATCATTTGAGCCCAGGAGTACAAGAGCAGCCTGGCCAACATGGCGAAACCCTGTCTCTACAAAAAGTACAACAATTAGCCGGGCATGGTGGCGCACTCCTGTAGTCCTGGCTACTCCTGAGGCTGAAGCAGGAGGGCTTGAACCCAGGAGGCGGAGGTGATGCAATGAAACGAGATGGCGCCACTGTACCCCTCCCTGGGCGACAGTGAGACCCTATCTCAAAAAACAAACAACAAAAAATAAAAACAATTAAAAAGCAGCAGAAAGACTCTGTCTCAAAAAGACTTTTTTTTTTTGAGACAGGGTATCGCTCTGTCACCCAGGCTGGATTCTCCTGTCTCAGCCTCCCAAGTAGCAGGGAATACAGGCGCCAGCCACCACACCAGGCTAATTTTGGTGTTTTGGGTAGAGACGGGGTTTCACCATGTTGCTCAAGCTGGTATCGAACTCCTGGGCTCAAGTGATGGGTACGCCTCGGCATCCCAAAGTGCTGGGATTACAGGCATGAGCCAACGCGCCCGGCCAGAAAAAAGAGTTTACTTTCTTCCATACCTGCATTCTGAAACTGGGTTAAGATCCTTATCTGACCACACTTTCCTGTGCTACATTATTATGACTTAAATAGTTCTGCTTTTACCATAAAATCTTACAATGTAGCATAAAAATCCCCAAATGATTAATGAACTGCTGAAACCTCTGACTCGTCAGAGATAATTTTATTACGAATCATAGCTCTAAACATCCATTCACTGCCTCAAAATAAGTACTAACTTAATTATCATGACTTCACCAGACAGTCACACTGCCCACAATGATGTTTACAAAAGCACTTGTCACTCCCTTTGGATGTAGCAATGCAGAAAAAAAGAGTCAGTTTCCATACTCTACATGTGTTTATGCTCTGTAACAAGTGGCAGAGTTCAAGTGTCACTTGAGATGAAACAGCAAAGCACTTCAAGTTTATGTCCCACCATCTTTCATCCTAAGCGAATCCCGAATTCCCTTGCTTTCATTTCCGCAGTAATTCCCACTCAGTACCTAAGACAGGCTTCCAATTCAGCTTCTGCAGGAAAAGAGACTCCAGGATTCTAGTAAGAGACTATAAGATTCTATTTTGGCTACTGCGAGATAAGAGGCTCAATATTAAGCAACTCCAGTATCGGTTACTGCAACACCAGAGCAGTTCGGAAATGGATGTGCCCCCAAAAGCACGCCTGCAGCCGGTAATTAGCAATAACTAACACGAGATGCTGCAGCAGGGATATCATTTACTTCGCACTTGTTCACTTATGCCTCACCTCACAACAACCCTAATGCGTATGTATTATTATTTCCATTTAATACATCAGGATATTTTGGCCCAGGGCCCTAGGACTGGTCAGCAGCGGCGCTGGGATTCAAAAACATGTTCCGCAACTTGGCCCAAGGTCCCGCCCCTGGAATACTCTTCTGCGCAAAAAAGCACCTGAGGGTCGGGAAGCTCCGGACTTATTCCCACAGACGCGGGGCGCGAGGACGCCGTTTCTCCACAGAGGCGTCCCTCAGGAACGGGAACCAAAGCGTAACTGGCCCGGGACGCCCGGCAGCATTTCTGCCGCCCGGGGGCCGGGGGCCGCCACTCACCTTGGAGAGCCCCGGGCGGGCCGCAACCAAGCCAGGCGTCTCCACCGGCCGGCAGGCGGGTATCCTCCAAGTTGGCAGGAAGCGCGGTGCTACCAGGCTAGCCGCAGGTAGCGTCAGGCTAGAGCACACCACCAGCCCGCCCCGGGGCACCGCAGCCAGCGCCGCGACCCCGCCGCGCCTCAGCCGCGCCGCATCCGGGTCCCGTGCGGCCGCACTCACCTGCCCGTCGCTCCGCCGCCGCCGCCGCCTGCTACTATTCCTAGTCCGCGGTCAGCAACCCAGGCCACCGCAACCGCTCCGCTTCGGCGACCCCATCCCTGCCTCTCTAGATCACCTCCCGCCTGCCCGGTGCAGCACTACACTCGCCCGCCACCCACTGCCATGGCCCGCTCCGCCGCAGCCGCCGCACAGGCCGACGGAGCACGCGCGCGCCGCCGCCGTACCCGCGCCCGTGTGCGCGCGCGCTCGCCTTCCAGGCGGGCATCCCAGCAGCCCCCGCCCCGCCCTGCGCCGCCCTCGGGCCAATCCCGGGCCCCGCGGTGGCGGTGGCGGCTGTTGCTGGGCTGGCAGGGCGTGAGGAGAGGCCGCACTGCCCATTCCTCTCCCGCTGCCAGCCGGACTGCTACTCTGTTGCGTGGCCTTTCCTACCTCTCTACGTCTCCCTGAAGACTGCGGAATAGGGAATCCCCGGCAAGCCGCCTTCAACAGAGACCCTGAAGTTCACCTGCCCCGGCCTCCATAACCTCCTCCCGAGAGACTCCTCTGTTCCTAGGTTCCTTGCTGGCCTTTTCTTCCCAGCCCTGCTCCCTCAGTTCTCTTCTGCGACGTGGACAGACTCCTGAATTATTGGGCGCAGCACTTATTTTTTTCCCGCTATCCGTCCCCGCCTTTCACTCCCTTTGTGGGGATAAGGCGCTAGCTCGGCTGCCTCACAACTAGCCCTTCAGTCCTACACTGTGAATGGTCGTTTCAAGGGAAAAGTCCAGCCTTTCAAGCCCATGATTCTTGTTCTTTGTTCAGTTTTGCAATAACAACACCTGACATTTGTCTGCAGAGCCTTAAACTTTACCCCTCTTTGCCTACCTTGTCTCCTGATACCTTTAACCTCAACCACGAATATCAGTCCTCTTTCTAGTGGGACACCTAAATTTTGCTTACTGAAAACCAACATTTTAACTCATTCCAAAGTTACTATATTTTAACGTAATGCTCCTGTATTAGCCTGGACAAATAGTTGATTACTCAGGGATAAAATCTAAAAGTGCAACCTAATAAAAAGCAAACGTAGGCTGGGTGCAGTGGCTCACACCAATAATCCCAGCACTTTGGGTGACCGAGGCAGGTGGATCACCTGAGGTTGGGAGTTCGAGACCAGCCTAACCAACTTGAAGAAACCCGGTCTCTAAAACAAACAAAAGCAAACGTGACAAATCAATTCAGTGACAGAGCAATAGTTTATTTGAGAAATGATCCTAGTTTTGACTTTTCATTTAAATTGAAGCAAGAACCATTCCATATTCAAAAATAAATTCCAGAAGAGGCTGGGAGTGGCCCATGCCCGTAATCCCAACACTTTGGGAGGCCAAGGTGGGCAGATCACTTGAGATCTGTCTGGGCAATATAGTGAGACTCTGACAAAACTGACCAGAATGTGGTGATATGCACCTGTGGTCCCAGCTACTCGGGAGGCTGAGGTGGGAGAATCGTTTGAGCCCGGGAAGTCGAGGCTGATGTGAGTCAAGATAGCTCCACTGCACTCCAGCCTGGGAGACAGAGCAAGACCTGTCTTGAAAAGAAAAAAAAATCCAGAAGAATTAAAGGTATAAAAACTTACAAAACAAAAACTTACAGGAAAGTTATATTTTTCTTATATTTTTTAATTTATTTAATTTCATCTGGCCTCCATGCTTAGAAAGTTTTTAAAACGTAGTAATGTAGGCCAGGCACAGTGGCTCACGCCTATAATCCCAGCACTTTGGGAGGCCAAGTCAGGCATATCACCTGAGGTCAGGAGTTCAAGACCAGCCTGACCAACATGGAGAAATCCCATCTCTACTAAAAATACAAAATTAGCCGGGCGTGCTGGCGAGTGCCTGTAATTGCAGCTACTGGGGAGGCTAAGGCAGGAGAATCACTTGAACCCAGGAGGCAGAGGTTTCAGTGAGCCGAGATCAGGCCACTGCACTCCTCCCTGGGCAACAAGAGCAAAACTCCCTCTGGAGTGCAGTGCTCACATCCACCTCCACCTCCTGGGTTCAAGCGATTCTTCTACCTCAGGCTCCAGAGTAGCTGAGATTACAGTAGCACACCACCACACCTGGCTAATTTTTTTACTTTCGGTAGAGATAGGGTTTCACCATACTGGCCAGGATGGTCTTGATCTCTTGACCTCATGATCCACCCACCTCAGCCTCCCAAAGTGCTGGGATTACAGGCATGAGCCACCGCACCTGGCCAGTGAGGCAGAAATTTTAAGCAGGACAGGAAGCCCAGAACCATTATAGATATATATAAAAAAATTTGCCTACTTTTTTTTTTTTTTTTTTTTGAGACAGAGTTTCCGCTCTTGTTACCCAGGCTGGAGTACAATGGCGCAATCTCAGCTCACCTCAACCTCCGCCCCCTGGGTTCAGGCAATTCTCCTTGCCTCAGCCTCCTGAGTAGCTGGGATTACAGGCACGCACCACCATGCCCAGCTAATTTTTTGTATTTTTAGTAGAGACGGGGTTTCACCATGTTGACCAGGATGGTCTTGATCCTTGACCTCGTGATCCACCCGCCTCGGCCTCCCAAAGTGCTGGGATTACAGGCTTGAGCCACTGCGCCCGGCCGCTACATAAATATTTTGAAGTTTTTGCATGACATCACAACAACAAATTTTGAAAAAGAGAAAACACCATAGGTTGGGTGCAGTGGCTCACACCTGTAATCCCAACACTTTGGGAGGCCAAGGCAGGGAGTTCAAGACCAGCCTAGGCAACATGGTGAAACTGCCTCTCTACTAAAAATACAAAAATTAGCCAGGTGTGGTGGCGCAGGCCTGTGATCCCAGCTACTCGGGAGGCTGAGACAGGAGAATTGCTTGAACCCAGGAGGCAGAGGTTGCAGTGAGCTGAGATCATGCCACTGCACTCCAGCCTGGGCGACAAAGCAAGACTCCATCACAAAAATAAATAAATAAATAATAAAACTCCATTTATAGAACCTATTTTATGTTAGAGATATAATATGTTGGCCAGGCATGGTGGCTCACATCTGCAATTCTAGCATTTTGGGGGGCCAAGGCGAGGGGATCCCTTGAACAATTTTTAAATTATTTATTTGCAAAAGAGATATAATGTGTTTGCCATATTTTTCTTCAGTTCTATTCCATCTACTGTGTCTGTGCTTTTTCCATTTCCCGTTTCCCCTTTTCTCTTTTCCCCTTTCCCCGACAGAGTTTCACTCTGCTGCCCAGGCTGGAGTGCGGTGGCATGATCTTGGTTCACTGCAACCTCCACCTCCCAGGTTCAATCGATTCTCATGTCAGCCTCCAGAGTACCTGGGACTAGAGGCCCACACCACCAAGCCTGGCAAATTTTGTTTTTATATTTTGTACAGATAGGGTCTCTCACTATGGGGCCAGGCTGATTCAGAATTCCTGGGCTCAAGCGATCCACCCACCTCAGCCTCCCAAAGTGCTGGAGTTACAGGCATGAGTCACCATACCCAACAACAGGTGCGTGCCTGTAATTGCAGCTACTGGGGAGACTAAGGCAGGAGAATCACTTGAACCCAGGAGGCAGAGGTTTCAGTGAGCCGAGATTGTGCCACTGCACTTCCGCCTGGGCAACAAGAGCAAAACTCCCTCTAGAGTGCAGTGGTACAATCTCGGCTCACAGCCACCTCCACCTCCTGGGTTCAAGGGATTCTCCTGCCTCAGGCTCCAGAGTAGCTGACCTACCAAAACAATACAAAAAATTACCCAGGCATGGTGGCACTAATCTATAGTCCCAGCTACTCGGGAGGCTGAGCCATGAGAATTGATTGAACCCAGGAGCACTGGTTGCAGTGAGTCGAGATCCTGCCAATGCACTCCAGCCTGGGCAACAGAGTGAGACTCTGTCTCAAAAAAATAAAAGCCGAGCATGGTGGATCATGCCTGTAATCCCAGCACTTTGGGAGGTTGAGGTGTGTGGATCACCTGAGGAGGTCAAGAATTTGAGACCACCCTGACAAACATGGTGAAACCCCATTTTTACTAAAAATACAAAAATTAGTGTGGCGTTGGTGAAACCCCATTTTTACTAAAAACACAATAATTAGTGTGGCGTGGTGGCACGGACCTGTAATCCCAGCTACCTGGGAGGCTGAGGCAGTAGAATTGCTTGAACCCTGGAGGCGAGGTTGCGGTAAGCTGAGATTGCAGCACTGAGCTCCAGCCTGGGCAACAAGAGCGAAACTCCACCTCAAAAAAAAAAAAAAAAAAAAAAGCTATCTGGGATCAAACTATCCAGTCTCCTCATATTTGTAATATTTGTATTTTATCTACTGCCTCCCCAGGACCAAGATTAGTGCCTGACAAATAGTAGATGCTTGGTAAATATTCCTTTTTTTGTAGATAGCGTCTCTCTCTATTGCTCAGGCAGAAATGTAGTGGCATGATCACAGATCACTGCACCCTCAACCTTTTGGCCTCAAGCCATCCTCCCACCTCAGCCTCCAAAGTAGCTGGGAACACAGGCGAACACCACCACACTTGGCTAATTTTTTATTTATTTATTTTTGCTTTTTGTAGAGACAGTCTCCCTATATTGCCCAGGCTAGTCTTGAACTCCTGGGCTCAAGTGATCCTCCCACCTTGCAAAGTGTTGGGATTATAGGTGTGAGCTACCATGCATGGCAGCAGATATTCTTGAATGAATACATTTCTTTTAGATATGGAGTCTTGCTCTGATGCCCAGGCTGGAGTGCCGTGGCGTGATCATGGCTCATTGCAGCTTCAACTTCTGGGGCTCAAGCAATCCTCCCACCTGAGCCTCTCAAGTAGCTGGGACCACATGTGTGTCACATCTGGCTAATTATGTTTATTTATTGTAGAGAGAGGGTCTTGTTATGTTGGCCAGGCTGGTCTGAAACTCCTGGGCTCAAGTGATCCTCCCACCTCAGACTCGAAAATTGCTGGGATTACAGGCATGAGCCATTATACCTGGTCTGAATGAATTTTACATAGCCGAGGAAAACTGAGGCCCAGAGAAGTCAACAGGCTTGCCCATGTTCATAGAGCCAGCTGGCATGCAGATCTTTTTTTTTTTTTTGAGAGGAAGTCTCGTTCTTGTCCCCCAGGCTAGAGTGCAATGGTGCTCTTGAGTCACTGCAACCTCTACCTCCCAGGTTCAAGCAATTCTCCTGCCTCAGCCTCTCGAGGAGCTGGATTACAGGTGCATTCCACCATGCCTGGCTAATTTT